CTGTGTGGGCACTGGGACCACAGAGGCAAACAGGCAGGCAAGATCTTACCTGATCTTGGAAGTTAAGTAGAGTTGGGCCTGGCTAGTACTCGGATGAGAGAATGCCTGAGAATACTGGGTGCTGCAGGCTTTAAAACAAAAGAACAAAAAACAAACAGCTGAGCATGATAGCTGACACCCATAATCCTAGCACTTTGAGAGGCTGAGGTGGGAGTGTTGCTTGAGGCCAGGAATTGGAGACCAGCCTAGGCAGCACAGCAATACTCTCTCTCTCAAAAATAAACAAACAAACAAAAAACTGAGTCCAGTGGGGTGAGGCATACACGTAGTTCCAGCTACTCAGGAGGCTGAGGCTAGAGAATCACCTGAGCCCAGGAGGTCAAGGCTGCAGTGAGCTATGATCCCACCACCGCACTCCAGCCTGGGCAACAGAGCAAGACGCTATCTCTTAAAAAAAAGGAGCTCTTTCTGGTGGTGCTGATACTCTAAAGTATAAATGAGTAACTAGCTGGCTAACTTTAGGCTCTGATGGCCCAGAAGGGGACAAGCAGAGTGACAGGATGGAAAGTGACCCATAGTGGCCATGGAAGGCCTCTCCAAGAAGGTGATGAGGACAAGCACAGACCCAGGTGAAGGGTGTCCTGGGCAGAGGGACTGGCCTGTGGGTTGTCCAAGGTGGGAAAGGGCTTGATCTGAGGAACAGACCTGCGGGTCTGGGACAGGCAACCACGGAGACAATGTTGAATGAGGTTGGAGAAGTCAGCACATCTTGTGGGCTCCTACGGGCCATGGTAAGTGTTTGATGTTTCTTCCTGTTCCGGGGTTGGATTGCAGTTTTAGTGGCTGTGATGTGGGGAGGGATTGAAGAGAGAGGACGGAGGCAGGGACAGGGAGGTCTCCTAGGAGGCCCCTGAAGTGTCCAAGGGAGAGGTGCTGGGTTTTGATCTAGTCTTGATGGCAGAGGGGAAAGTGGTGGGAAGCTGATTGTGTAGGGGACAGTGCCGGGCAGGGAAAGGAGGGAGTCGGGGCTAGTCTGGCACTGGCACCGCCGTTTGATAGGCGATGGCACCCTTGACAGAATTGGGGAAAACGCATTTGGGAGGAGAGCTCAGCACAGGCTGGGGACTCTCACTAGGTTTAAACGTTCTTGTGGCCTCATTTGGGACTGCACAGAAGTGAGAAGTTTCTCATTTCCAAGAACTGGAAGGGATTGCTGTAGCCTCCAGGCAAGGCGACACCTTAAGGCTGGACCTGTATGAAGCCCTCCCTGGGAGTGGCCTGGGGGGAATCCCACAATCCCTCCAGCACCCCATCCACCGTCCACCCTCTTGCCCGGTGGCAGCCTGAATTCCTCCTGCCGCCGAAGTCTGTCATTTCTCTTGTCCCTTTCTGAGATGTCTGTGGCATCTCTTTTTCTTTTCATCTGTTCACTAAGAATCCAAGCCAGCACAAGCCTTGCCATGTTGTATGATGTGTAAGGTCTGTCCAGCCCAGAGCTTGTCATTGATGGGGGCACAGGCCAAATTTTGAGCAGGGCCGCTGTCACCACTCCTAATGTCTCAAGCCCCTTCAATAGCCCCCGCAGGATCTGTCACCCTGTTTTATCTGTACCTTTCTAGACCTGACTTCTACTTCCAGCTTGTAGCACCTCTCAGGTCGCCAATCCTATGTATTGATTTCTACTTATTTTCTGACTTAATGGCTGGGAATGATATTTCATGTTACTCTCAAGCCACTGAACTGGGTTGTTTACTCATAGTGATCATGGGTGCTGTTTATTAGACATTCGACAGGGATCGCACACTCTGCCAAAGCTTCACATGCTTTGTCTCATTGAAAAACACCTCGAAGTAGGTATTATTATTCCATTTTACACATGAGCTTTATGCAAGAGCTTTAGCAAGCTACCCAAGGTCACCCAGCTAGTGAGGGGAGGAGGTGGGATTTGAACCCAGGCTATCTGACTCCATCACCTGAGGGGAGGGAGGCCAAAGCATGGTGGCCTCTCACAGGTTGAATAGTCATACTGTCTCACTGGCTAGCCAGGTTCTACTGTGACTGAGGGGCGTGGCCCGTGACGAAGGTGTGGAGTCTTCGATTTTGTGAGTGTTGGGGGCGGCAGGGACGAGGGGACGAGTCACTGCTGTTACATTACTTCAGGAGACGTGGACCCTGATCCGAGGCTGCAGGACCGTGTGAGCAGCAGGGCCCTGCAGCCACCCGGAGCACTAATGCAGACTTTGGGAGTCCGGGAAAGCAGAGGGGCTGTCCTGATGTAGCCTGGCAAGCCAGTCCTCCTTCACAGAAAATAATGCAGGGAGGCGCTGGAGGTCTCGTTCTCCTCAACTAAGGCCAGGCCTCGGGGCAGCAGAGCCTGAAAGGTACAGGCCCATGGGTTGCTCACTCTCAGGGCCTAAGGGAGACTCAGCTTCGTGCCCACCCAGCCCAACAGTGTTGCCTGCCCCTCAGGAGCGGCCTCACCATCTTCACTGGGGTCTGGTCCTGAAATGCCCCCTCATTAAGCAACAGAAGAAGCCCACATCTACACCTGTCTTTAAAGCTATAAATAAATAAATAGATAAATAAATAAAATAAGAAGAAATGTAAATCAGGGTGACTAAAATTGGTTTCTATTTTCAAATGTTTGAAAGAACACCTTTTAACATAAAAAGCAGTATGATTGTATGATTGTATGACTGTACTAGCCACAAGATTGCTGTAGGACTCAAAGATGAATCGCAATTCAGGGTGCCCCAGGGTTTGTGTGACCCAGCAGTGAGTCCCTGTGACTGCGGAAGCTTGTCTGGAAACAATGTCATGGCTTAGAGGCCCACTGGGGGTCACCAGAACATGCGCCCCTCCCCCCCCCCACCCCGCTCCCCTGTAATGGTCTCTGCAGTGCAGAAAGAGAGCACTTCTACTCTTTCTGGGCAAGATTCCCACAGGCCAGTTTGTCCATCCTTCTCCGCTCTTTTTATGAAATGAACCTTTCGGATCAACATCAGCTGATTTCATAAGTCAAAAAAGCGAGTGGGTTAAGGACACAAACATGGGAGGCCTTAGTGTCCAAGCCTCTATACATTAGGTTGGTGCAAAAGTAATTGAATTTTAAATCATTATAAATAGGCTCAAACACATATTCATTAGTCAAAATAGGTATCATTACAATTAACACATTTTTGCCAAAGAGAAATAAGTTTGCTTATTCCTGTAGCATAAAAATCCATGCTTCAGGATTCGATGAACTCTTGGAAAGCATTTTCTGCATCCTGCTGGTTGTGGAAACGCGTTCCCTGCAAAAAGTTGTCAAGATGCTTAAAGAGGTGGTAGTTGGTCTGTAAGAGGTAAGGTGGATATGACAGATGAAGTTAAACTTCATGCTGGGTGCAGTGGCTCAAGCCTGTAATCCCAGTACTTTAAGAGGCCGAGGCAAGAGGATCACCTGAGCCCAGGAGTTTAAGACAAGCCTGGGCAACTTGGTGAGACCTTGTCTCTACAGTATATCAAAAAATTAGCCAGTCATGGTAGCGCACACCTATAGTTCCAGCTACTTGGAAGCCTGAGGCGGAAGGATCACCTGAGTCCCACGGATCTACGCTGGGGTGGCCGTGAGTGTGCCACTGCACTCCAGCCTTGGCAGCAGAGTAAGATTCTGGCTCAAAAAAAGGAAAAACTCCATAGTCCAATTTGTTCAACTTCTGAAGCATTGGTTGTACAAAATGCAGTCAGGCGTTGTTGGGGACAATTTGGCCCTTTCTGTTGTTCAATGCCAGCTGCAGGCATTGCAGTTTTCAGGGCATCTCATCGGTTTGCTGAGCATACTTCTCAGATGTAATGGTTTTGCCGGGATTCAGAAAGCTGTAGTGGATCAGATCAGTGGCAGACCACCAATCAGTGGCAGACCACCAAACAGTGATGATGACCTTTTTGTAGTGCAAGTTAAGTGCTTTGGAGCTTCTTCTTGGTTCAGCCACTGAGCTAGTTGTCACTGGTTGTCGTATACAATCCACTTTTCATTGCACATCACAATCAGATAGAGAAATGGTTTGTTTTTGTTGCATAGAATAAAAGAAGTCAACACTTTGAAACAACGATTTTTTGGCTTTCGGTAAGCTCATGAGGCACCCACTTATTGAGCTTTTTTACCTTTTCAATTTGCTTTAAATGCCAGACGACCATGGTCTATGTTGAGTTCCTCAGCAACTTCTCGCATAGTTGTAAGAGGATCAGCTTCAATGATTGCTCTTAATTGGTCATTGTCAACTTCTGATGGCTGGCCACTATGCTTCTCATCTTCAAGGCTGTTGTCTCCTTTGCAAAACTTCTTGAACCATCACTGCCCTGTATGTTCCTCGTTAGCAGTTCTTGGGCCAAGTGTGTTGTTGATGTTGTGAGTTGTCTCTGATGCTTTATGACCCATTTTGAACTGGAATAAGAAAATTGCTTGAATTTTCTTTTTGCTTAACATCATTTCTATAGTCTAAAATAAATATAAAACAAGCAGAAAGTAGTAAGTCATTAGCAGAAGAAAACATAAACTGAGATATGAGCATTAACATGATGTATAACATGACCACATTTGTTTAAGAAGATATTCCAGTATCAAACAGCAATGTCACAATGCAAAAACTAAAATAACTTTTGCACGAACCTAATAGTATTATTCCATCGCTCTCACAACTGCCCTGGGATGGTGTTAATTTTACTCATCTTTTTAATATATGAGTTAAACTGTTTGTCCAAGATCTAATCCAGGATTCGAACCCAGAGCCCTGGGCTATGAAGCTCTTTCTTGTCAGTCTCTGAGTATGAGCACGCCATAAGGCCATACAGCCTGGAGGAGCCCAGCAAGGCTATAAAGGGCAGGGCCACCATCCTCCCTGTGGTGTTGGGGCAAAATGCAGACCTTTCTGGACCTCCTCACTGTTTCCTGTTTCTTCTCCTGGCTGGCTTCACTCTACTCTCTCCCATGCTTATGATACTTATTTTTCCATCCACAGCAAAACAATTCACATCAAGGTAATTGATGATGAGGCGTATGAGAAAAACGAGAATTACTTCATTGAGATGATGGGCCCCCACATGGTGGATATGAGTTTTCAGAAAGGTGTAGTACCCTGTGCTCCACACTCTCACAGCCTTCTTCTCTCCTCCTGTCTTCCTTTTTCAGCCCGTGTGTGTCCTTCTCCTCCTCTTGTTTCTACCTGTCTTGTTTCCTCTCTTGTTCTCCTCTCTCCCCTCTCCCCTCTCCCCACTCCTCTCCTCTCCTCTCTTCTCTCTCTGCTCCCAGCTCTGCCTTAACACCTGCCAGTCTGTCACAAGGTATCCGTATGAGGGACTCCCAAGGCCAAGGGGAACTTTTCTGGGCTCAGAAAATGAATCTGGGGAACAAGAGAGAGAGAACCATAGTTCTGTGAGCGTCCTGGAAGAGGCTTCCATCCTCTCCTGACTGACCTTCTGCATGGGGAGGAGGTCATCAGCACAGATCCCCAGGGGCAGGTCTCAGGGCAGAGTGGACCATTCCAGGACACTGAGACCAGTACGTTTGGGTCATGGCCTTAGGAGCCACCTCCCTATTGCCAGGGCTGGTTTCTCTCCCTGACCTCCACTGAGCTCCAGGTCGGAGAAAGACCTACCTGCCTTACTCTATGTTCCTGTCAGGAGCGTCAAGGTGTGGAGGCAGAAAGTTAGAGTCATGGGAGAGGTGGTTCTGACCTGCATGGAAGTGTCCCCAGGAAGCCCATGGGACTTCTCAGAGTGGGCAGGACCTTGGTCTTCGACCTAAGTGACACCATGCATCATAGCCTGGGTAGATCATGCTGTGGAGGATGGAGCTGCCAGCGCTGGGCCACGTCCCTCCCCTGGCTGACCTATCCTTATGTCCCCCAGGCCACACACATGGTCATAGAGTGCTCCATCCCCATCCCACCGAGTCCCTGCCACAGACACACAGCCTGACACCTGGCAGACAGCCCCAGGGTCCCACACCAAGGGCCACAAGCAAAATTCTCCAAACAGCTTCTTGACAATCAGTTTTATTGTCAGCTTTGTCTTTTGTCCACCGAGGGAGGGATGGAAAAGTGTCAAAAAATGCCCAAAGGTGATAAAAAACGGACAGTCATGCATCGCTCAGCCACAGGGAGATGTTCTGAGAAGTGAATCATTGGACAAAGTCATCACTGTGTGACTGTCACAGAGTACTCACACAACCCTAGATGGTGCAGGCCCCATACACTTAGGCTATGTGGTGCAGCCTGTTGCTCCTGGGCCACGCACTTGCACAGCATGGGACTCATTGAATGCCGCAGGCAATGGCGGCACATGGTAAGTGTTTATGTGCTCAAACATTTCTCAACACAGAAAAGGAACAGTAGAAATGTGAGGTCATAGTCTGAAGGGGCCTCTGCTGACTATGTGGCCCAATGTTAGGCGCTACATCGCTGTGTGGCACACAGCTGTACTTGCAAAATACACAACACCACAAAGGCACAGCAAGTCCTGTGCCCAACAGATGCCCCGGTCAGGCTCCCACATTGTGAGAGCCAAGCTGGGCAGAGCTTCAGAAGGAAGCGGGAGCATCAGAGGAGCTGACAGAGAGACATTCAGACCATTGCTCACTAGCTCCCTTTAAAAAGCATTTAGGTCTCAGGCCAAATCACAAAAACAAAAACCAGAAAATAACAACTCTGGCTCCCTAGATGGCTTGCTGACCTCCACTGGGGTTCCATGAAGGACCAGGAGAAGCTACACAGGCAGAGCCAGGCCCACATGCAACCTCTCCACATGACCATGGGCCTGAACCAGGTTTTGAAGGGGAGTTATTTTCAGGGAAACCTTGCTTCCCTGAGTGATTTTTTTTCTTTTTTTCCTTTTTTGACTCGGGGTTTCTCTCTGTCGTCCAGACTGGAGTGCAGTGGCATGGTCATGACTCAACACAGCCTTGAACTTCTGGGCTGAGACAATTCTCCCACCTCGGCCTCCCAAGTAGCTGGGACTACAGGCACGCACCATAACTCCTGGCTGGTTTTGTTTTGTTTTGTTTTGTTGTTAGAGATGAGTTCTCGCTATGTTGCCCAGGCTGGTCTCAACTCCTGGGCTCAAGCCATCCTGTCACCTCGACCTCCCAAAGTGCTAGGATTGCAGGCATGGCCACTGCACCCACCCCCTTTTTGAGATATTCAGAACATTCATTGCCTTGTGCCCAGGACCACGACAATCGATATTTAAGGAACCCAGTCTTGGGACATATCCCCCCTCTATGATAGATGTCCAAGAGAGTTGTTGTTGAATTTGAGGACTGACATTCTTGTCTCCATGTTTTTCCTGAAGTGCATCAACTATAAATAGGAAGGGATTCCCATTTTGTATGGTGGTCTTTATTTTAGCTCCCACCAGGAAGCCCCGTGAGGTAAAGAATGAGGAAGACAATAGAATTCGGGCTTCCTTTCTTCTCTCTCTCTCTCTCTCTCTCTGGTTTCCCCACCTCATAAGTAATTTCCTCTTGAAATTTTCTTTATGAGACACACAATAGAAGTGAATCTAGACACAAAGAAGGGACATGAGCCCTGTGTTCTCTTGATGTATTTCCTGTTGTGAAAAGACCTGGGCTACTCCCAATGGCCAGTAGGTTACCTGTTGCCCGAAGAAATGTTGCTGTTACCATGTGACGCCCTGCGGAATGTGCTGCTGAACTCACTCCCTACTAACCATCCCAGGGTTCGGAACCACTCCTCCCCTGTGACCCCTTGGCCTTCCTGTTCCCATCCCATCCTCTGGCCCTTCCTTGCCTCTGGATCCCCTTGCCTCTCACCCGTGGAACCATGACCAAGGAGACAAGAGAAGCCAAGACCATTTTTCCTCCAGAGAACAACACAGTCCACTATGGTCCTGTCGACGCCACCATGGCAGGGCCGGGCTACACATGTCAGAGTGGTGGGGAATGATTCAGGGGCTGTTATCCAGGTGACCCACTGAGCAGCCGACCCCGTCGACACACTCTCTCTCTTGTTGTCCCTACAGGAAAACCATAAGGGTTAAAATAGTAGATGAGGAGGAATACGAAAGGCAAGAGAATTTCTTCATTGCCCTTGGTGAACCGAAATGGATGGAGCGTGGACTATCAGGTGTGAGATTCCTTAAAAGCCCAGCAACAACAAAAGAAAGAATCAATTCAGACAAACAGGAACAACCCCAAAAGACAACGTGACTCTACGTTTGTCCCCCTCCTCCCTGCGTCCCTCTTCCTCCTTCCTCCTTTTGACCAATGGACGATTCTGATCCTTTTCCCTCCTGTATGTTCGCTCTCACCCTGTTTCGGTCTCACCTCTGCCTTTTTAGCCTACGCTTGTTCCAAATTTTCTCCTTCCCGCCTTCTGGGCAGCACTGCAGCCTTGATTCCTCATGGCCCTCATGATTTCCTTCTGCGTTTTGCTATAATCTCCCAATTATCTAACTGCCACAGGCCCCTGCCCCCCCCCACACACACTGTAACCTGTCCATGGGAAGACTCTGTGGCACGTGGGGAGGAGGAAGACAAAAAGGAGCATGACATGTTGCATGCCTGTGGCCTCCCCGCCTCCTGCCCCAGCCTCTTCTCCCTCTCTAGCCTGGGTTGAAATGGGGGTCTGGGATGGGGCTGGGGTCCAGGTTGCAGTGATGCTTTAATGCTCTTCTGCTGCATCCCCAACCTGTGTTGAATGCTTGACAGGTTATTCACGTGTGTGGAGGTAAGTGTATTCTCTGGCATTTCACCCTTGGGTAGGCTGTGGCATGGGCAGGTGGACCTGTTGTCAGAGGCCCTGTTTCAGAGGCCCTGGATTCTGGGAGCTCCAAGAGAGGGAACAGGCCCCTGAGGAGGTCGTCAGGCTGGAAGACAGAACTGTTCTTCCACCCTTCGACCCCCACCACGTCCCATTCTATCCTAGCCCAAGACAAGGTGCCTTATTATTCAGGCTACTTTGGGACAGTGCAACCTCTAACCTGAAATATTGAATCTGCAAAAGCAAGTCATTTCAGGTGTGAAAACTCCCCCCACCTGGTGGGCCCTGGGGAAGGACTGATGTTGGGCAGGCCTGGATTGATGTTGGGGATTTTCCAGTGGAAAGGACTCAAAATGGTGCAGCTGGTGCTGGGCCCCGAGAGACAGGTGTTGGGCAGTTTGCGGTTGTCTCCCTTTGCTCTGCAGCCTCAAGTGAGCCTGCCGCCCAGATACCAAGACAGCTCTCATGCCCCAAGGGAGAAGTGACCAGTCTCTTGTTTTTCCAGGATGAGCACCTCAGGATAGCCCTAGGGGTGCATCTGCAAGGGGCTGATTGTGTTGCCGTCAGGGTAGGTGTGAGGAAGGATTTCTTCCCTTGAAGAGAATGATCAGAACTGCTTTGAACGTGTTGGAGGAATAGATGTGGGAATGGGTAAGCGAGAGGACATCCATGTCCACTCCCATTCCAGAGAGACACACCCCTAGGAGCCTCATGGAGAATGGAGCAGGGAAATCTACCTGTTTGTCCAAAAGGGGTGGTCATTCTGCAACAACTTTGTATTCACATAGCCAGGAGCATCATTCAGGGACAGAGCTCAGAGACTCAGCGCCTGTGCTTCCGTGCTCCTCCCTGGGTCTTCTTGGACCCGTAGCACCAATCAGTTCTCACTGTCTGCTGGGGAATCTATAGAGCTGATCACTTCTGTGCACACTGGCGCTACAGAGGCAGAAACCCTCTCCACCTCCCACTGCCAGTCCTCTTCTGGGTCACCTGATACGACGTTGCCATCAGCCTGACTGCCAAACGGTGCTGGAAGAAAGAATCTCTGTGGTGCCCTTGACTCTCAGGTTGCATTCCTGCCACCAAGAGCATTCTCAGAAGTCTCAGACTCCGCCTGGCCTCCTTTCCTCCTCCTTGAAAATTTACTCCATGGGATCATAATTGGGTGGAGGTGGCAGGTACCCATGACCATTGCAAGCCACCATCATCCATGTCCACAGTCCCAGCTACTTAAGTGCCGGTGAAAGCAACACACCAGATCATACAAGCTTCTGGAAGGAAGGCAGTGGTTCCAGACGAGAGTTGGGGATTGCCTTTATTCCACCAGCAAAGAGGCCTCCCCTCAAAGCCCCACCACCAGCGGAACAGAGAAGCATGCCCCAAGACAAGCCTGTGCTCTTCATGAGCCCAGGTCGAACACAACATCTAGGCTACTTCCCATCTGAGGATTCCTTCCTTTTCTGCACTGGATCCTTTGTCCAAGGAGATGTCAGCAAATCTCTGGTGGAGGGAGTGGGCAAGAAGATGGGGATTTCAGTGAGCTGCTATGTGAGGTGCCTAAGGTCCCCCAGTGACCAAGAGGCTAAGACAGAAGATGCCAAAAAGAAACACATCCGCTTCCAGACCTCTTGTTCTATTGTGCTGGGGGTTCATTTTTCAGTTTCTTCATTTCTTCCCATATTTTGGCATCAGACCATAAGGTGAAAGGTCATAAAACCTGATTGTCTAGACTGAGAATCAAATGAAAACCCATCCAAATTTCCAGAATTCCCTGCTGCTCTCAGAGTGAGAGGCAGAACAGTGGAAATTGCTTTTCATTATCACTGCTGCATGAGAAAGGCTTAGACATTCAGAACGGTGGCATCGCTGCATGGTCAAAATGACAATTGCATTAAAAAAAATAAAAGGGTGGATTTGAAATAGGAGACTATTCTTGGCAAACAAAACAGACTTCAGAGGTGAGATTAAAAGCTCTGGATGAGCTGGGGGAGGGAAAGGGGAAAAGGGGAAAAAGGGGGTTGAGGGGACCCCAGTCACCCTGGCGTGGAGACTCCTGAGGAGGCCACTGAATGACACACCAGGTCTGCGGAGCCCGGGCCTGGACAGAGAGAGGAAAGCATTTCCCAAGAACGGTCCTGTTTGTTCCTCCTCTTTCCACATCCATGGGTTTTTCCTGACAAGCTGCCCAAGTATTTCCTAATTACACGCAGAGCTATGCCTTTTCTTGCTTGTCCCTGGAATGTCTGCAGGAATAAATGACTGTCTCCTGACCCTGGGGATCAGTGCAAGGGAGAGGTTAGCTCTGGGGTCTCTCAGCCACGGCAGCAGGAAAAACACCCTCGAGGTACAATGTCAGTCAAAGCCGGCCTGCCCACAGCTCACAGACCCATCTGTCACTGTGGAGTGGAGAGTCTTGGATACATGGAGACAACGACCAGAGAAGAATGCAATGATGTGGACTGCAGGCCTCCCCTTGACTCTAGGGAGGGACCGGTTGTTGGGGCATGTCGGGAAAAACCAGGCATCAGAGACATTGTTGGAAGAGCTGCTCTGGTCTGGCCCACCTGGATGCATGGATGTGTTGGAACCTCTGGATTCCTTTGGAACTTGGGGATCCAGAGGGATGCTTCCATGCAGAAGTCTAGGAGGGGCCGAATGAACAAGTTTGCCTGTCTGTCTGTCTATCTATCTATCTATCTATCTATCTATCTATCTATCTATCTATCATCTATCTACCTCTATATCTATCTGTGTATTTATCATCTATCATCTACCTATCATCTATCTATTCATCTCTTATTTATCTATCATCTATATATTATCTATCACCTATCTATCATCATCTATCCATCTATTATATATCTATCATCTGTCATCTATCAATCTATTATCTGTCATATATCTATCATCTATCTATCCATCTATTATTAATCATCTATCATCTATCATGTCTATTATCTATCACCTATTTATCTAGCATCCTTCTATTATTTATCATCTATCTATCTATTTATCTATCTATCATCTACCTATGAGAAGATCCACTGGCTCATCACTGCTTTGATTCTAGATGCGAGACACCAGGAAAAGCCAACTGCTGTTTGTTCTGTTTATATCCCACACAAACTCTGGATCCAAGTGAGTCCATAGCGACTGTGAATGCAGGATGATGAGTCATTAACCTGAGCTGCATTCCTAGAGCATCTTAGAAGAACCAATTCAGAGACACCTGCCTCCAAACACACACACCTTCCTTAGCAACTTCTATCTGCCACCAGCAGCACCAGAAGCCCATGGTAGGGTCTTCCCAGATCTTTATCTGACAAGAGCCAAGAAGTGAGGGGCTGCACCAAGATACTATCAAGATGAAAATGTGGCATGCCTCAAGAATGCTTTAAAAATCTTTGGACCTTAAGGTCTAAGAGAATTTAGCATACATACAGATTCAGGAGCCAAGAAAGAAGAAGAGAAAAAAGCAGATTCAGGAGCAAGGAACAGCCCATACTGGGTGTATTGCAACTCCTACCACACACAAAGCTTTCATCTGTCATCTCTCCTCTTCGGGGAGCTTTTGGTGTGACAGTCTCTCTGTTCCATAATATCTGGGCTCTGATCCACTCTGCACTTTCTGAAACAAAAAGGCCACCGCCTAGAGATGCAGCACTGCAGGACCTACAGAAACAACTGCCAGCCAGCCAGCAAGCAACAGACGTTCACAGAACACCAAGTGCAGGGATTTTGCCGGGCATAGGTGATACAAAATGGTAGGGGTCCCTGGCCCTGGCCCCGACCTCCAGTATGTCTTTAAGAAATACAGCACATTCCAGGAAAGCATTCTGCAGGACTTACCTTTTCACCAAGTCATGCTTTTGGGGGAACTCAAAGCTCTGGTCAACATGGTAGCTAGGAAGCCATTGTGGCCATGGACACCTCATGGGTGCCAAAATCCTGATCAGGACCTACTAGTGAGATCAAGGATGGAAGACCTAGAACCAGGCACCGTTCCAGTCTTGCGCCCACTGCCTAGTGCCCGGAGCCCCGCTTCTGGCCTTATGGTCATATCTGCCACTGACCTAAGCCAGTTTTCCCAATAACTCGATTCTCACTCTTCCTGTGCAGAAAGGAGTGGTAACTCATGTCCCACAAGACCACAAGCGGCACACGGGACCTCACCCACTTGGTTTCCCATCCTCATGCATCTGCTCTGAGCCCTCAGGGCTGCTGGGAAGGCTTAGGGGAGATTCTCACCACCGCAGGGCTACTGCTAGCATGCTCCAAAGGCTGCTCTCTGCATGTGGCTGCTGGGGTCTCACCTACTAATCCCACCGCACTCCTCGCACTGTGGCACCCACAGAGCCCTGGGA